AGTGCTACTGAATGTAAGTCACTTTTCTGCTGTTTTCCCCTCAGTGGTTTGGAAACCTGGTGACGATGGAGTGGTGGAATGATATATGGCTGAATGAAGGCTTTGCCCGATATATGGAATTTGTCTCACTTGAGGCAGTATATCCAGAGCTTAAAGTTGTATGTTCAAGCTTCAGATATCTCTCTCTCTCTATAATGGAAGTTGTGTGATGTTAAGATGATAAATGTCATTATCATTAGTAAACCCTGAAGGGTGATGAAGACCCACATGAAGAGGCTTATTTTTGGGATAATGATAATGGGACATTTAAAAGTAGCGCTAGTTTCAAGTGTACTGATGTACATACATACTCACACCAATACGTCTATAGACAAACTAGTTTTGAGTAGGGTCTCACATGCTTTCTTTTGCATGTTAGGAGGACCACTTACTGGACACCTGTTTCGGAGCTATTGGACGGGATTCTCTAAATTCTTCCAGGCCAATTTCCAGTTTAGCTGAGAACCCTACACAGATAAAGGAAATGTTTGATACTGTGTCATATGAAAAGGTGGGAAAACACTTCAGCAATGTTAAAACTTTATCACCATTCTGAATTATTTTGTTTAATCGCATTCATCTACTTTGTTACTGCATACTTTAGGGAGCATGTATTCTCCATATGCTGAGGAATTTCTTGACAAATGAAGGCTTTCAGAATGGCATTATTCGGTACCTTCGTAGGTTCAGGTATAGCAATGCCAGAAATGAAGACCTGTGGGACAGCCTTATTAAAGTATGTCACTTCATCTGCTGCCTTTTTCTGTCATACATTTATAATTCAGCATCAAAACAAAAACTCATGCTCACTTCACTCTCTCTACAGACATGTTCAGAGGAGGATTTTACAGCAGGAGAATACTGTTACAGCAGTACACAAGCCACTAAAAATGCGGTAAAGATGTCACATCATGAATGAAATTAGGGCTGTGCGATATTGAAGAAAAATGCGATATTCGATATGCGATACGACATAGCTTAAAGTGTGTAAAATCAATTTAAATGATATTTTAAAATATTTAAAAATGAAAATTATATAATCAATTTGTTTCACATTCTTTCTTGGAAAATAAAGAATCACTACAACTTCTGAAAGTGACCAGCAGTGTTTTAGTGTCACAAATCAGAAAATGTAATTTGACTTCAATGTGAACATACAAACAAAAAAATGAATGACACTAATTTTATATCATTGTAACTTTGCTTTCCACACACTTTAAGTACTTCTTCATATACCACAGCAAAAACTATAGTCTGAGAAAGTTCAAACATGATTAAAGGCAAGTGAACATTCAGTAAAAAAAAAAAGAAAGAAAAAAAAAGATATACACAATTTACAAGCATAGATAAAATAAACAGTAGTAT